GCCATAGTTCAGCACTGGTGTAAAATGAAGGAACGTTAGATGGGAAATGGAGGATGCTAAGTAGGATTTTGTAAATGCAATTCAAAGACCCCACAAATGATAAAGATGCATTCTGCAACATTCTAAGAAACGTATACATTGTCCATTGTACTCCCTGGGTAAAAATTTGCAAACGAGTTCTTATATCTTTGTCATGCCAAATGATACAAGGAAATTCCAGGCCAATTTTTTATTGACAGATATCCTTGCATTATATAGTGGAATAACATACTCAATCAATTGACCTGGTTTAACTTGCCGCACAAATCAATAATACCACTATACCAAATTCAATTTTTAGAACCATCATTCATTATCTATCAAGATAACCCAACGAGAAAGAAAACAAACATCTCTCAAAACAGAATTTAACCTGTTGCAAAGAATTAACTCCAAAAACATAATATATACAGAACTGCTCTTCAAGGATGCAATACAATTACAAAATAAAAACTAATAATGAAACAGTTCTGCTTTATTCCTTGCAGGCACAGAGTTTCCACTTACTTCCACAAGAAATACCAACTTAAGCTGGATGAATTTTGTAAAACCAATGCAGAAAAATCAGCAAACGTGTAACTTATTTCAAAAACTACCTTTCATTTCCTTTGATAGTGGGGACTGCCGATGCTGCAGAATCTGAGATAACAAAGTGTAGAGCTAGATGAACACAGCAGATCAAGCAGCATCAGAGGAGCAGGAAAGCTGACGTTTCAGATCTGGGCCCTTCTTCAGAAATGGAGAAGGGTCCAGACCGAAACGTCAGCCTTCCTGCTCCTCTGATGCTGCTTGGCCTGTTGCGTTCATCCAGCTCTACACCTTGCTAACTCTTTCATTTCCTTTATTTTCTTCTTCCTAAATAACGAAGGGTGCTTTCGGGGAATACTTTGTTTTATATAGTGAGGCAGAAAAGAAGACAGCATTGCAAATAGATTATATACTTTTTTTCTCCACCACCAGGGAAACATCCACGTGGCCAATCAAAAACTTCCTTTTAGCCTGGTCTTAAATTTAATTCACCTGGATCAGGTGCTACTGTCAAGTCAACACTGTATTTGACGGCACTGCACACTGATTCAGCAAAGCTCTTCAAATCATGCTTTTGTTTTCACTTGAGCAGATGCAAGTAGGTGGGTGCTTTTAAAAGTTTTTCATATATAATTGAACCTGACTAGCATACATCATTGAAGATGGTAAAAGATTAGTTTTAAATTATTTTAAATCAGGTTACACACAGGTGGACTAGACATTTGATAAAAATGTTTACCTTTGATGATAAACATATTTAGTTGTATTAATAAAATTACATGCGAATTCATCAAGAAGCCATTATAAAATGGAGATAAACAAAATGAAGATTATGATTTGTTATACTATCAATTGCACTGAATCATTAGAAATCTTAGTAAAAATTTGGATTATACTCCAATCAATGCAATTTAAAAGCACATTTTGGGCATAATTTCCCAAATTTGCCAAAGGAGAAATTCTTCTCCATTTTATTATGCTGTTTGTGTGTTAATGTTTTAAAACATTCTCAGCTGAAAGTGAATTTACATTTCCTTATAAAGTAACATTTTAATTAAATATGCCAGAAATTATTGGAGCCATTGAAATAACACTAAGTGAGCTGTAATATTGTTCTAAAAATCACAAGATAAAAGTTTTAGAAATCAATGGTTAACGACAAAGTATCTTAGCCATGATACAATGAATACTTTAAAGACACATTATTGATCAATGTCTTTCACTTGATCATTTCTTTACACATTTTTAATAATCTATGCTTCCTTTCCCTCAAAAGAAAACTTTCATGTTGTTTGCTGAATATTAAATGAAGCAGCTACGACAAGACACAAATCAGTGTTCTGAGATGAAACATACTGCTGTAACTCACTTTAAAAAAATTTCAATAGATGGAGGGGTAATAAATTATCAAACTCTTGTCAACTACAGCACACAGTGCCATGCTGCCCTGGCCCTCAACATATATTAGTCTTTTGTGAAAAGAATAACTCAGGACTATACTATTAACATTAATTTGCATAAAGTATGTACCTTAAAAAAAACCTTTGAAGTCAAAAGTCATCACTTTACAAGACAGAAATATGGAAGTGACACACGATATTCATCATTAAAACAATTGATTGCATTTTGAGACTTTTTACGGTCATCAGTATTGATGCCTTGTTTAAGATGTATTGTTCTAGAGTAACCAGAAGTGGGCAAATTATACAGTGGAGATCAGCCCTGAAACAACCACTCAAATGGCATTGTGCATCAACGTTTTAATGTGCTGCGCCTAATCTTATAAAATTTAAGATTATATAGATTGTAAGATCTCATATCGATTGGTAGATGCAGAGATTAACAGTGTTCTTTAAAATTTTAAAAAGGGGCCACGATAAACAGAGATGGGAAAATGCTCATCTTAAATGATACAGCACAATACATACAATACTATTATTACATTAGTCATCATATCCTTCTCGAAATTGAATTGTAATTCATCCAAATTAAGATTTAACATTCTTGAGATATAACCATATTTCATAAACAGCCTACACACATGCATGCAGCAATAACTTGGACAGATTTACAACCTGAAACAGAAGGGTCAAAGATCAAAACAAAACTTCCATGAACAAATGTTTGTTTTTAAATTCAAAGTATCAGGCTACAACACTAAAAAATACATATTTTGTGCCTTTGGCAATCCTTTTCATTCCTCTTCATAAGACTGAGAGGAGACCGGATGGAATTTAGATTGGGAGAAAAAGATCAAAGCAATATTCTCAGCTGTGGGCAGAACTTTAGCACAAGCATTCCAGTAACAATTATACAGAAAGAGGATGAATTTTATTTACTATAAAAAAAAGCAGTAGGCAAAGCAGCAAAGTGGAGGATTAAGAAGCCTCATCAGCTTCAAGAAATTAGACAGGTTCTCATCAAGAAATGACATTCAATCTGACTAGGAAGGCAGGGGGAGTCAAACGACACTTAAAGACTTCCTGTCTAAAACAGTTAACGTGTGTAACTCTCTCAGACCCTAACTGTACATGATGTCAGTGTTGTTGTAAATTTGATAATGTTCAGCTTTGACACAAAACTGCCCATTGACAAATGAACCTAGACAGAACTGGAAGATCACTTTCGAATTCAATCCTCCCACTGATTTTTCTGGTTGAAACTCTCTAATCAGAGTTTTAACTCCATACCTCAAATTCTTTGTTAACTTGTATCAAAAGAGAGTTTATGGAGTTCACTTCTGCCTTTAAGCTCCCGTTTCAAGCATTTTGTTTAAAAAAATTAAGATTAAAAGGAAAACTTTAAAGACTTGGGTTAATTTTAAACATTGAAGATTTTAGTTTGCAACAGTTCCTTTAGCAACCCTGACAGTTTTCTCCTGAAATTCCAAATCTGTATAAACCACAGATAAGGGTTCAGCAAAGATTTGCAAGGATGTTGCCAGGGTTGAAGGGTTTGAGCTGTATGGGGAGGTTGAATAGGCTGGGGTTATTTTCCCCAGAGCATCAGAGGCTGAGGGGTGAACTTATAGAGGTTTATAAAATAATTTCAGAGATAGTAGGAACTGCAGATGCTGGAGAATCTGAGGTAACAAGGTGTAGAGCTGGATGAACACAGGTGTGTTTATAAAATACAGGCATGGATAGAGTAAATACACAAGGTCTTTTCCCAGGGGTGGGGGGGAGTCCAAAACTAGAAGGTATATGTTTAAGGTGAGTGGGTAAAGATTTAAAAGGGATCTAAGGGGCAACTTTTTCATGCAGAGGGTGGTGAATGTATGGAATGAACTGCCACAGGAAGTGGAGGAGGCTGGTATAATTACAACATTTAAAAGGCATCTGGATGGGTATATGAATTCGAAGGGTTTAGAGGGATACAGGCCAAATGTTGGCAAATGGGATTAGATTTATTTAGGATATCTACTTCAGCATCAACGAGTTGGACCGAAGTGTCTGTTTCCGTGCTGTACACCTCTATGACTCTATACATACTTGACTTGGTTATGTTCATCAATAGTGAAGTAAATAAAGATACAAATAGGCAAATCCTGGTGGTGCACTGACAAACCTTTACTTATTCTAAAAGGTAGTTACATAATTAAACACTCCAAAATAATGTGGCTTTTCTTGGCATGACAATAGATTTGCTATCTTAATTTATGACGACATTTTATAGTACAACAGTCTGAAGATGATAGCAAAGCCAAGTCTATAAGGGTGTTGTTACTAATGAAAGAATAACAAAACGTAACCGATAGAAGGTAAGGTGAACCAACTCATTTTCAGTGAAACGTCAAGGTAACAGCAAGTTATCTGTTTTGACCTGTTGAGAATGACAGTATGATTTTGAATCCACACTTAAATAATGCAAATGTAAATTCTTGGCCTGTTACAATGTATGCTAGAAAATAAGAACAGGTTATTATTAACTTATTTTTCTATCATACTGATGTTAATTAAAGAGATGGCAAAAGCAGTATACTGACTTAATAGCAAAGTTGTATGATTATTTTAAGATATAACCGTATCTTAAATTTATCTTTATACCTTCTGACTCAAATCCCTCAGCTTGAACCAACAATAAATAAAGGAAAATCGGTTCTCTGCAAATTTTGAAAATTGCAATTTGGTCAAATGTAAATATCATGTTATCTTAGAGGTCAGGGGTCTGATTATTTTGGAAGTAGTTCTGGGGGGGCGAGGGAGTAGGAGGGGGAGAGGGATGGGGGAGGGGTGGAGGAAGGGAGAGGGAGGGGGTGAGAAGAGGTGAGGAGGGGCGAGGGAGGAGGATGGGTGAGGAGGAGTGGGTGAGAGTGGGGGGTAGAGGGGGAGTGGGGGGGTGGGGGTAGAAGTTGGGTGGGGGTAGAGGGGGAGGGGGGGGGGAAGGGGGAGGTGGGGGAAGGTTTGGAGGGCCCGGTCCCCGGGAGCGCTCACCTCATAGGACCAGACGCACTGGGTGTTGGCGAACCTCCGCACACAGCGGCCGATCTCCACGTCCTCATGGCTGGTGTACATCTCCCGTAGGCACTCGCCAATGTGGGGGACCATCCGGCGCAGCACCTCCCGGCTGAAGATCATGCCGGGGCCGCCCATACAGAAGTTCTCGCCAGGTTCCAGGGCCAGTTTGCCGAGTTCCTCAGTAGTTCCCAGGCCGGTCTGGCCCAGGTACAGGGGCTGGCTGCTGTTCAGGGACCTCAGCAGCTCCTCTAGCCTCTCGCCTTTGATGTAGACATCATCATCGGCCCGCATGAACCACTCAAACCCATCCAGGTACCGGTCATGCATGTACTTGAGCATCATGAAGGACTTTTTCTGCGGGGGGTAAGAGTCATCGACCCCGGGCAGTGAGACTAGGGGCAGTGGCACAGGGAGGGCAATGCTCTGGGAGCCCTGGCTGGAGAAGAACTCCACTTTTCCCGGGATGGAAGGAGCCCAGCTCCTGTAGGCAGCCACTGCCCGGGAGTCCAGGTACTTCTTGGCAGTCATGACCCCGACATAAAGGAAATGTTTGCCGCTGGCCCTGGCAGCTTCCTCAGCTTCTTCCTCCTCTTCCTCCTCCTCCTCTTGGCTCTGTTGCCCCTTGGGCAGTTTACTGACCAGCAGCTGGTCCCTGTGCCAGCCCAGGCTCCTGGAGTTAGAGCTGGAACCCCCACCGGCAGCAGCCCCTGCCCCTGCCCGGCCAACCCCTGCCCGGTTCAGCAGGGACGAGCAGATGTTGAAGATCTTTTTGTTCCTGCCGTTAGTCTCCACCGCCCTGGGCACGATCAGCCACGAAGCGGCGATGAAGCCCAGCACCAGTCCCATCACCACACTCAGCCACGGTCTGCGAGCCCTGCCAGCCATGGTGTCTCACCCCTCCTTAACCCAGCCAGGAGGGGGGCAGATCCCCCCGGCCCCCCCAAAACACAGCTCCGGCACCAGCACACCTACCCCTCCATTGCAAACTGCAGCTCGCTCTTTCTCTGATCAGTCGGGAGGAATTCCAAAAAAGTCATTACAAAATGAGCAACTTTAAATATTTCCTTTTTTTTCAAAGAAAACAAATTTCTGACGGGTTTGTTGTGTTGTTATTTCTTCCTCTCCGGCCAGGCAGTGTCACCAAGTAGAACTCAAGTCTGGCTCCTTTTCTTCCAAGTTGTCACAACCTGAAGGAAGTTATTGTATTTCATTGCAGGCAGTTCCTTTTCCGTTCGTTGGAGAGATTCGCGCATTTTGAGTGGCTTTTCATTGGGGGGGGGGGTCTGGCATTGATCTTTTATATTTTCAACAGAAAGGGGGTGGTGGAAGTTGCCGGCAGTAAGAGACAAAAGGCAGTGAGCGTGCTCAAGGGAGGGAGTACAGGCTGTGTGCCGGATTGGAACAAGAGCCTGGAACTACCACTCTCTGCTCTCCCCCTCCTCCCCACACTCTCCTCTTCGCCATCTTGTTTACATTTGACGTCAGGACAAATAACTTTTTCTTCCTTTTCTTCGCTCTGTCTCAGTCTCAGTCTCTGTCTCTGTGCCTGTGTCTGATCTCCTCTATTACCCGGTCCCTTCTGTTTCAGCCGCGGTTTCCGCTCAATGAAAGCGAATGCAGCGCTCAGGCAGAGCCAGCGCAGTAGCTGCAGGAAGGAGCTGTGGAGCCTCGCTGCAGATTGACAGCCCTCCTGCCCAAACACACCATCGCTGGGCCAACAAAGTACAAACTCTTTCGCCTGTCTTACAACTGCACCGGCCCAATCAAACTGACTGCAGGCTGGGACATCCGCCCCTGCAGTTACCTTTGAGCTGGTGGGGGTAGTGGGGGGACGTGGTGCTGAGAAGGTGGAGTTCTGGCTGTCTGTTTGACACTGACGGTTTGTGTCTGCTGAGAGACACGGCAGAAAGCTGCTCGAAATAATCGAGGCACTTTTGCAGCAATCAAACTGAGAGCTCTGATCCGCAGATAGGATTCATTTTCACTAAGTAGCAATGTTCCCTTTAACTACGATGGGAAATTAATTGAGCGCAATGTCCCTAAAATATTTTGCCGTTAAAATTCGTTTCTTTTCCGGAGAGGCTAAGAACACCCTAATGAGGAGAATCTGAATAATGATACAGACGTTGCAGAGATAAGTAGACTTTAAATGAAATGCGATAAAAGTGAATGGAGGAAGATGACACCAAAAGGATGCCAAAATTTTCCAGGAACGTCCAATTTCATTTTGTATTCAATAGATACAAGCAGAAGTGTAATATTATTAGGAACAAAAACAAAGTTGCTGGAAGAGCTCAGCAGGTCTGGCAGCATTTGTGAGGGGAAAAAAGAGTTAACATTTCGGGTCTGGTGACCCTTCCTCAGAAGTTTTGTTTTTTATGTAATATTATTAGGTTTTTAGGGCAACTATTAGGGCATTTCAATGAAGGCAGTCAAAATAATGAACAAATTGAGATTCAATAAAGTACAAGTTTTGAAGGAAATCTCATGATACATTTTTTCTTGCATGTTAGTGAATTAATTGCAATATCACTTTCATCAACCCCTTGTAATGAATCCCCTAAAGTGACACAAGTCAGAGCAGAGAAATAGCCTACCTTTGCTCACTGGGATCACAGACTTAAAACAAATGCACAATAATTCTTATAAATCAAATTGTGGCAATCCATTTGCTTGCCTTTCGATTCCGCACATTTTAGCCTAAACTAAAAATGGTATAAGATTGAAACCACACGGTCCTACTAATCCATCAGACTTCAGAACGTCTGAAAGCCCATGGTGCTATTTCTTCAATTACCGCTGACTACCAGAGGTAACATTCCAAAGAAAATGGTGAAAAGGCATATGCTCCAATTAGACCAGAAATTTAATGCATTCAATTCAAATATACATTATATGTGTATACATGTTAACCACAGTTCATCTATGTTCGATATCTTCAATCTTAAGGATCAACTGTTCATCAACAACCCTAAAACAACAGGGACGTATGACATGTACTGCAACATGACAGCTTACATCTGAACCCAAAATGTGAAATTCACGACAATTCTGGCAGCAAAGTGAAGTTGTTCATGTTGGTAAAATTAAAATTGTTCTTTCACAAAAGGTAGGTTATAAAACTTATATGGATTTTATAAGATATGACAAAGAATATCGCTATACAGTCAGTCTGATACAGTCAGTATCTTCTTGGAAGGGATAAATTAATAGCAGCAGACTTTATAAATCCACAGCACGTTGATGTGGCATCCAATAACACAAAAGTTTAATGCAATAACAACATAAGCAGGATTGAAAACTGTTTAAACTAATGAGATACCAAATAAAGAACATAG